GTCAAAAGCATTGTTATGAATGATTGATATTGTAAGGAACCTTCATGGTTACATAAACATCTTAGTGTCAGGTTTGTCATCATCTTCGTTCCGAGCATGAGCTGTGATCATCCTTTAACGTTTGTCATGTTAATAACTGCGATTCTGAAGACATTACCTTCCTATTCAAACTGTTTTATCAGATATGTATGTACCCGACACCGAGAGGCGGGACATTTGGTCGTAATGGTTCAATGTCAAAATACATGTCATTATGCATCATGTGTATACGCCTGCTTGATTATCGTGCGCATGATCCTGTATCCGTCAAGACACTGTTTGAATCAGAACATTTATTCCAATTAAGGCCATCCTTTGAAGGCTTAACCTACGTTTCTGGAAAAGAAATCCTTTTGTGTTTCAATCTTTCTTCCTTAATCCAACTATATGTGGGCCCACTGTTCAAGTAAATGGACATGTAATTTTATCTCTTCCGCGACTTCACTTATGAGGAAGTTTAATCTTGTCGACTAATGAGCAGCGCAAATATCTAGTTGGATTCACTTTGGTGGTACAGGTTACCAAGTTTTGGATTAATTTTATGTCCCAGCGCAACTATATAATCAACTTGCACTTGAGGGAAAAATGAATAGAGTTTTGAGGCAACCTGGCTGAAACCTTGCCTGCTTTTAATTCATCTTCTTGGGGTTTTTTCTGGACATAATATCGATTCTTGTGGTTTAGAAAGTTGCAGGATGACACTAGTTTATCTCGCGACATGTTCGGGAGATTCACATCAATTACCTCGCTCTTCTGCCGATTTAGGAATTGTGCAATTTCCAGTACGAACCACGAACTGAGAAATAAAAACAGGATTGGTGCAATTGAAACGAACCTAGAGCATCCAATTAATCTAACGCTCGTTAGGGAGATACTCAGAGGTCGATGTCTGCAAAGAAGCAGCTGAACCTGCCATGAACACGTATGCTAAAAGTTGTCGGCATTTGAAACTGTACACACTTTTCCAACAATGTGCCACTGATTGGAAGTGTTTATGCTGTTGCACGAAGACTTTCAAGTGTTCTCGCGCCTCCCGTTGTGACTTTGTTAATGGAGAGAAGCCTTTGTGTGTCAGAATAAATATTACGTCAAGCACTTGTATGCAGCCCAAGGTTCCAAGGATCTCTGCCCGCTGCTTTCTGCTTCTTGACGTCTGGGGCAACTCTAGGATAACCATCATGGCGTCACACTGGTAGATTAGATGAAATTATTGGAAGGAATAATTGTGCTAGCTGCAATTAATAACTTAACAGTAGTACTATCGTTTGCAGTTTCCCAAAAAAAACTTGATATGGCGAACTCCAGTGTTTTATATTGGCTATTGCTAACGTACTTGTTCTTCTTCTGACTATAATGAAAACACGAACTCTCGTTACCTCATGCTGAACACCTCTAACAGAGAGTGAGAGAGAGAGAGAGAGAGAGAGAGAGAGAGAGAGAGAGATGCATCAAATGGATGCTGCTCATAGTGCAGACTGTATTATATATGAGTCAACGTCTCGTCAATTGAACGCATGGGAAGTAAAGTAAGAATGTTTGAGTGTCTGATGCCGTAGTCACCAGCACGACAGCTTTTCCGAGGGAGTGAGTGAATGAGTTGGGCTTAACGCCGCTTTGTGCTGTGCAGTTATATCACGGCGTCAGCTCGATGTTGGAGGACAGCCTGGAGTGATGCAGGTCGATGACGTTTACCACTTTGGTGACACCCACGAGCACGGGTTTGATGAGGACAAACATAAGGTGAATCTGGGATTTTTGAACACACGATTACAGGTTCTGTTTCTTCAGCTTATTGAGAAAACAAACATGGGAAATGCTGCACCTCATAAAATTGATGTGAAATGTGGACATTTAGACTATATGTAGGCATCCCCGTAGACACCACAATGTCATGTGATCCCCTCGTTGGTGATCTGTTTCTATTTGCAAACGATTTCTGCTGAAATTGGCAACATGAAAACACGGAATTTGGCCAAGACATTTAACTTAAAGCCCCACCCTGACTATAAATAGCCTGCAAGGTGGCGGTGTTTCAGTTTCGAACAGTGACTGACAACGTAAACACAAACGAGTGTCGAGAGAAACCTTTTGCCGTCAATCTTCGTATCAAAGATGCGCGCTCGAATTAATGATAATGGATAAATGCTATTCATTAAGCGCAAAAATACCACATGATTACGTTTGGTGCCGTGATGCACATTATGTTGAATGTGTTAAAAACACTGCTTCTATATATCACGACAGACGTATTTCGTTCTCGTCCAGAGAATTAAAGTGGAGGATTAATTTGTGTGTGTGTTGGACTGGAATGAACACATATGGTGGACAATCCACAGTTATATTTAATGAAGATGTGAAGACGACATGGTGCGAAGGTTGGGAAACCAAAGACCTACGCGTTTGTTTAAAAGCCTTGGATTCGTTTGATGGATGTCCATTAATGTTGAGTGCCACATTGGACAAACGTCCTTGCTGTCAAACGGCCCAAATGGGTGGGTGTTCACATATCATGTGGCGTCACCCGTTTACCCATCAACAAATGAAATTTGTGTTATCATGACGTCATATTGTCTTGTCAGGTCACTCGTATAAGCTCCGCCCACTCTGAGTGCGGTAGTACATATCGCAAATGCCTTTTGGAACTTCACGTACATCGATTATCTGATATCGTTCCATACTGGTCAAATGATTTGTAAACACATGCTCATAGTCAAGTTGGTTGGTTGGTTTGTTGTTTAACGCCGCACTCAGCAATATTTTCCAGCTATATGACGGCGGTCTGTAAATAATCGAGTCTGGACCAGACAATACAGTGATTGATATCATGAGCATCGATCCATGCAATTGGGATCGATGACATGCATCAACCAAGTCAGCGAGCCTGACCACCCGATCCCGTTAATCGCCTTTTACGGCAAGCATGGGTTGCTGAAGACCTATTCTACCCCGCTCATAGTCAAGTCGGCTTTTAATAGATATTTCTTATGATTATGGAAACGGTATTGTCGCTTTTATTTACATGTTCATCAAAGGTGACATTTGTTCGTCTTTCTAAATACATAGTTTACACTTTGTAATCTTTGAATATCATGCTGATCCTTTTAAGCCTGGTTTATATCAAGGATAGCATCGCGGCTGTCTTTTCTGTTTATCAATGTTCTGCCCCACGCCATGTATTTTGTTATTCGATCTCAATAATCCACGACGACCGAGATTTCTCGGAATGGACAAAAATATGCGCTGCATGGGAATCCTGACATATACAGAAATAGAATATGATAGATGACTCACCCGAACACATCGAACGCATCGATCTGACATCAGTGATGTACAGACTGCCATTAGACATATGGATAATATTGCAGGCAGAATTTGGAGTTGTCAGAGCACAAGGTCTCAACCACATTGCAATAAGGACAGTGGTGTTTGGAAAGAACTGTATGTTTCTTACAATGTTCATGTCTGTTAATTGCAAAAGCTATCGGCCGATAGCATGTTCGGATACGCAAGTCACTGGTTAGTTTTCGAACTCAAAGAATATGTGTTTTTCGTGATTTGGGATTATTGGGCCCCATTCACGGTTTATCAGCCTGTGAGAGAGAAGCCCGAAGTGATGCAAGTCTCAGACGTTTACCACTTTAATGAAATCCACGAGCACGGTGCTGACGAACCTAGAACGATAATCGGGCTAGCTGAACCGGGATTCGAACCCACTATCATAGGTTTATGGCCTGTCCAATAGACGCAACTATGCACCGCCAATTGCGAACATATTCCGGGCCAATAATCCGCCTTTTTGTTGAGTCCAAAACCATAATGGTGATTTTCAAAGATTTTTGATGGTACCATGATGCAAAAGTCTCTCAAGGCTAGAATTTAAATTATTTACTTCATGTTTATTTTACACTTCGCAGTTAGTTGTGCGAATATTTATTCACATGTTAGGCTTTTAAATGATATGAAAACATAATCGACATCACGCGTGTTGAAATAGTTCGTGTACTTGTGCAACATGCCGATGTGTGCTATAAATACCCGAGTAAGCATTTCAAAATAGTTGGCAGAATGTGTCTATTTACAGTGAATCTATTTTGCTTGATAAATATTTGAAAACTTTATTCTTCGCTGTAGTATTTACACGTATTAAATCGTATTATATTGGAACTACCTCAGTTCTGATCATGTCTCTTGTGATGTTTGTAGAGACTGATTAGGATCTATATATATCAAGAATGTTGTATGTGGTGCTCTTGAAAACAAATATTGACTCGTCATATGAGAAGAGTGATCATCACATAGAACACATGTATTGATCTTCGCGTTTGTATCTTTCCCCGCTGGATTTCCAGAGGTATATATTGTATGTCTGTTCATGAAGACTGACCGTTTTGCAACTAGAAGTAAATATGTATACCAGTATATATAGCATATGTCCATTTATTTCAATGTTAAAATGTTTCTGGAGTAAATAGCCCTGATTTTATATACATATATATATATATATATATATATATATATATATATATGTGTGTGTGTGCAGTGTGTGTGTGTGTGTGTGTGTGTGTGTGTAAGTGAGTGTGTGTGTGTGTGTGTGTGTGTGTGTTACTACCTATATATATATTTAGAAATAATCAGGGCTATTTATTCTATTTATTTTATATTTATAATTATATATATATATATATATATATATATATATATATATATATATATATATATATATATATATATATATATATATACGTTAGTCCACGACCCAATCTCCAATAGGTAGTTACACATGACATTCCACCCATTTCGTATAAACTGAAACCTGGATAACACGGACCCTCTAAATTCAGAAACCCCACTTTCCGAACGACTACTCCTTTCTCCATTACACAGCATCTAAACTTCGTTAATCCAGACATTTTTCGCTGTACATGTATTGCAATTATTGTTATTTTCCTTTTTCATTTCAGGTTTTACTGGGATCTGTTTATGCTGGTGCTACTTATCGCCAACCTCATCATTTTACCGGTAGCAATATCTTTCTTTAACGACGACCTCAGCACACACTGGATCGTGTTCAATTGTATATCAGATACTGTATTTTTTCTTGACATCGTAATCAATTTTAGAACAGGTAAGCAGCTCTACGTTAATAAGATTATTTTTAATATATTTTCGGAATAATATGTTTTAACTCTTTTTAAACAAATCGAATATCAAAACACAATGTTCCGTAAAATAGCACATATCTCGGAACTTACATCAATCAATGACCTATTAAGACATATAAATATATATGGGCATGAGTCGCTCAGTCTTCTCAGGCGCCGCTATTCGCAGTGCCGAGTTGCGTCCCTTGGGCTTTTCAAACACCTATGATTGTGGGTTCGAATCCCGGTTCGCCCCGATTATGTCTCTGGGTTTGTCAGCACCATACCCTTTCTCGTGGGTTTCATCCAATGGTAAACGTCTTAGACTTGCATCACCTCGGGCTTTCCTCCCACGTTATGTTTAGACGCCGTGATATAACTGGAATATTGTTATAGCGGCGTCAAAAAACAGCAAAGGCTAAAGACAAGATATAAAACTATAAAAGTGAATAACTTTATCACAGAACATTTTTGTTTATCCGTCCATGAAAACAAAACCCACGAAGAAACGCCAACCAAATGACACTATTGATCATTGAAGAAGTCAGGTCTAACTACATTTAGTTCGAATTATACTTGTTGGAACTGTTATTGAATATGACAGAAAAACACTAGGACGAGTAAGCATGTATCCTTAATCGACGGCATTTACATAATGGAACATAATGCTAAAGACCAATATAATTTACAGTAATCAGTCACACAAGTCAATGTGTCTTGTGCTATCCTCAAATAGGACAACGTTCTCCGTTACTCTAGTACTATACTAGAGGATTGTGGGTCACCCTGAAATAACTTTTGTTTGTCCTTTGTTCTGTATAAAGCGAATTTGATTATTTTAGTACATCATAATGCATGATGTGGGAGGTCACTTTATCAAGGTAAAGCAGATTATGTTAAATGGATCATTCTGACGAAAGAAGGTTATTTCAGAATTACAAAATAACTTTAATTTTAGTTAAATTTAATTTTGTTTAATTTTGGCATATTAACCTGTTTATCATAATACAAGTTAAACTTTACTGGTTACTTTTTGCGGATGATTTTATGTTTGACTCAGTCATTTCTAGAAGAAAACCAAATTGGCATTTGTAGCAGATATTTTGTCGCAAATGTTTCTGTTTGTCGTTGTCATGATAACTCTGCAAACAACAATAACTTGACTTTTTCATTCTTTTTCAGGTGTTATTTTGAATGACTTTGCCGATGAAATTATTTTGGATCCGAAACTTATAGCCAAACATTACATGAAGACATGGTTCTTTCTAGATCTCATAAGCTCCATTCCAATGGACTATATTTTTCTTATGTGGGACTCAGAGGCCAATTTCAGTCAGCTCTTCCACGCAGGTACGAAACCTCGCTTGGATGCCCTCCCGTACTGGCAAGGTGATCATTCTCGCATTTTTTGGCTGGAATGTCTGTCAAAATTAATCTGTGGACAACCTCCGTGGCTTTCTATCTTTCCGCCCATCCCTAGGTCACCGTACAGACAACAGGTCAAGGGCCTATTGGTCACCTCCCCGTTGGCAATTGTCATCGTACCCCTCTACCCTGGTGTTCCACTAGGGTCTTCATGGACACCTGTTAAATCATAGGGAAAAAATAACATCATACCATAGTTAACTAATGTTTTTTTCTTCTACAGTGTTAATTTTTTTCTATCACGCTGCTAGGAATTTTAAGGTGTAAGATACCGAAATTGTGTTCTATTAAGCACATACTTTAATTTTTCTTTCATATTTTTTCGAACAAATAATTTTGAATATTTATACCATGAAGAAACTAGTGCTTATGTTAAATCAAAGGTACCCGCTCCACTACGTGTTTGTAAAATGCACCCATCTTGAGAGTCATATTACCATACGTATATATATATATATATATATATATATATTGTTCTTCTATCGTGGACGTATCAGTTCATATTGACATACCATTAGTTTCGTGTACCAATCCATGACATATATCGATGTGCCTTCACGTAAGCATATAGCTATATCTATATATTGCTTTTTAAGTTTTGTTTTTCTAACATTTCGTTTTGCGTATTCCTTTATTATTTCATTTTCTTCCGCGTCGAAAAATATCAACTTGCACTTACATGAAACATCACAAGCACGCCATTCTTAAACACAGCGATTCGTTGTATGGAAGAAAACACATCATTGATGCTGTACTCATATTGGCATGGATTACTCTGATGCCATCTAATGATAGTTACGTTGTTGTGCTGATGTCCAAAATGCGATGAACGCTCCAAACACTGCATGGACTTCCAGTCTCACGATAAATGTTTAAGATTTTTCCATCACTTTACGTATATATGAAATGCTTACTTTGCTTTTAATATTAAGTTGAAACTATATGTCAGTTATCGTTTGTCAACACGATAGTGTTCACAGTATAGTTAATCACATTGACAACCTATTTATGGTTTTGGTCGTTTCTTTGTTCTCACATTCTGTGAATATTGATCCCAGAGAATTTCCAACAAGTATTACAAATTCCTTTTCTTGGGCAAAAGACTTCACAGAATAGTAGAGCCACCAAGTAATTATCATAAGAGAAAGATATATATTAAACATCAATGCCAGAGAATAATCAGTCTCGACTATTCGACGAAACAGGCTGTAAGAAGCAAAAATGTCTGCAGTCAATAATACCCTTTCTATTTTCATACGAAATCTCCACCCAAAAAAGACTCGATTGTACGATTCCGACTATATCATGAGCATGTGTTTTTGAATCACTCTCAAATGATACCAGGTGTTCGCAAAAAGGTGAGCGTATTCTGCCCACAAGTTGCACAAGGCACAAACACATGCATAGGCAAGTCAATTATTGTTCACCTAAAAAAATCATTCCATACTGACGATGATTAGAGTACTTTTCTTTGTTGACTTCTGTACTTATGCATTTGTTATTTCTCCTACTTTAATTCAACTTTTGTTAAAACGATATTTTCTTATTTTCTTTATCATCAATTTCTAGTATTTGAGATGTACAAAAAATGCACATAAGTTAACGGTAAAGTACCCTAGCGTTATTGCATCAATGAAATATGGTATATGAATAGGTAGTCCCACATAAGGTTTACACTATTTTGTAGGCATGGTAGCATACGTTGTCAGTTAGTAGCACAGAATACCAAGTTCCATTACTATATTGGAAGAACAGTACAGAGGGCATTCAAAGCAATCTTTATATAGTGGTCATGTCATTTCCACAGACCAAAGACATTGTATTTATACCATTCCAACGAGAACGGACAAAAGCTTAAACTAAGTAAGTAACAATCATTGAAAGCAACATCGTCCCTATCAGGCGTAACAGTAATATTAAGATATCAAGATGTGCGCATCAGAAACTTTCAATATAAGTAAATTCACTGGTACCTATTCACCATCACCAAATTTCCCAAAGATCCGTTACTTTGTAAGTAAAGCGTTGCGCAATTGTTTTCAATTTAATATGTCAATGCTATGATGCTTTGAAAAACACATACCTATGCAATAAGTGCTTATTGTGCAAAGCTTAAGCTAATTGTGACGGTCCAGTGACACCATCGTCAGGTGCTATACCCAAGATGAAAGGCTTTTACTTTTTCAGATATTCCGTGGCGCACCTTATATCTCGGTAATCCTCTTAAATTTCAAAATTTAGTTTATAGAGCTTTTATTATTATTTTCATCATTTTTATTCATTTTAGTTTTGTTGGTAAGCCTCTGACATCATTAACATGCTAGACCAACCAGAGATTTGACTATAACACAGTAACTGCGTTATAGACAAAACATTCTGGTCGTAAGGATTAGTTCTGTCAGCGTTATTCTGCTACTTACTCCATAACAATTGCTTCACTAATCTCAGAGCACAGAGCGTATAGACCACAGATCATATAGACCACAAAACCATATAGACCTGACCCACAGCCTTTGAGTATAGCACCATAACGAAGAAAGGTGTCATTGGTACGCACTGCCATCCACTGAAAGTATGACACTTCCATGTAGTTAATATGTTGAAGAGTATTATTCTGTTACCTAGAAGTAGTTGTTTTTTCTTCATTCAGTTCACACTGCGTTCAACAGTTCGTTAGATATAGATAGAGGTCAAGACCTCAGCATGATGCATCGTACTAAATTATAGAATTACGAATATTTGAAAAATATTTATTTATCTCAACCTCTCTGTGGACATTGTTTTTTTCTTGAATGATGGTTTTAACGTTTGACTATTTTGTAGATTTCAGGTTCTAGTAGAAAGCGAAAGATTGCAAGACCTTAAAACCCACTCCTCCATGAGACCGTTCTTGTAATGATAAAGACAAGGCCATCAGCCAGCTGCATGTAACACAACTTTAATTTGCTAATGCCAAGGATAAAGCGGCTGCTCAAGACATCACATAAGTTTTTTCAAACATCCAGGAAATACCATTAAGACAATATATAGATGATAGTTCAATGATTGATGCATAGCGTCCGCGACAAGCCAAGTAAGCAATGGAATATTTAAAGAGCGCGATCATGAACATGCACATAAAATATATTCAAAATCTATCTCTTTTCACATTTCTTTCATTTCATAGTTGTAGAACCATTTCTAAAGGTTTTCATATTTTGTAAGCCGGGCGTTCTTTACAGTGGTTGTCCATTTGGAAAGTCAGAATGATGACGATAATCATGTGATTTCTCTTTTTGGCACAAGAACGTCTTGATCTTCAACGAAGGATACTCCGCAGAGAATGATCGCCTTGGAAGGCATTTTAATACCATTCTGCATATACTTAAATCTTTTAAATTTTATCCGTTTTAAAGCATTCCTGGAAATGTTTCCCTCACAAGCCTTCTCCACTCACAAACGTAGTGCACTTATGACAACACACTTAGATTCATAACTACACACCACGTTACCATACAGCGCATGCCCTGTTTGCACGCCTTTTAGAATGTGCTTCTTTACCTTTTATGTTCACATTTTCCTTAAACTTTGACGCATGCTGCCTAGTAATTGAAACTGTGTCCAGTGTTGTGCCCTTGTAAACTGTGAGTCTAATTGTTACTGTGAAAGTGTTATATGACCATACGATTCATACTGTAAAGATTTTAGATTCTTCCTTTTTCCATGCGTAATGTTATGATTCAACTGATTTACTAATGCAGTGATGGTACAAAACAATTCTTGTAGAATTATAAGTATATTTCTATGTTTAATTATGTTGGTATCATATTTAAGGTTTTCGTTATGGATGATCAAAATGACCTCAGATACTGCGGGTATGTGATAAACAGTGTTCAAACGAGTAACCATTTTGTCTTTCAGTGTTGTTTCAGACTAGATGGTAATAATGGCGGGTTATCATTGTCATCTCCTTAGTATTTCATACATCTAGCACCTTTTGTACGGCTGAAATAAATTCCATAGCATATGGTTTATAATATATGGCATGCGTTAATAACACTTGGCAGCAATGGTTTCTGTACATATTAACTATAAACAAGAGTGATTTCATCAGAAAGAGCTTTTGTTATTTTTTATGAACGAAACGGATGGTTTTCGGCTGAATTCGTTTCGACAGAAGCCGTATTGCTTGTTCAGCAATGTTTCAGTTCATGCATATACCGTGCGTCTGAAAACTATATTGCCATCAAGTTAAGAATAACTATAAAATTACGAATAATCCAATTTCAGAATGACCCGTACACCATATATCATCGTTAACAATATGTCATATTTCAAGTTTCTCTAGATGTAAAACAAAATCAAAGATTACTATAACAAACACTGTTTCATCTCAGGGATACATTTGACAAAGGAAATTTATATCAAGTCACCCTAACGTTTGAGACAATGGTTCTCTCCGGACAATCGTTTTGGCAGTACCACATTCATACAGATATGTCAGGAAGTGTTTCCTTCTGTATGTGTATGCATATGACAGATACAATTGTGCACAATTACTTCATGTAATCGTTGAGTTCTTATATGTTTGGGGCAAGTAGATAGAGTAGGAGCAATGGTAGAATAAAGATAAGATATTCGGCCCATGTTGTCAAATAAGATGTTTATGACTTTGATTGACCTGATTGCATGAGTGGAACAGTCATGACACTTGGTGAGATAAACGTTATTTGACAACAGTCTGACACCGTCTTGATTGAAACACGAGAAAGCGTTGTATTTGTTTGGAAAATGTGCAACCTTAACTGGTTTCCTAGCAACGACAACGAATTGGGTAGTGACGTCATTCTGTTATTGTAATGGAAACGTTCCCCTCCATTACTTCTTTAACAGTGGCAATAACATGGTTCTTTCAGCCTCAAACTTACTGCCAGGTTTCGGATAAAGTTGTTAAATATTTGTTACGAAAGAATATTTGATGAAATGCGTGTTATATATAACTATTGTGGACATTTTATTCGTATTGGTTGTGTACCTAGTAGCGGAGCATGCTTGCATTGGCGGGTTTGGTATCCGTATGTCAGTGTTGTTGGTTATTAGTATTCCATCGGTTGTTCCTATCCTTTGCTGTGCACAAAGTCACAGAAACTGTTGACAAAAAGTCCGAGATAACGACGGAGACATACGAATATTCGAAATATTATCCCAAAGCACTGTTAAAAAGTGCAATATGCATTGTCCATGTGAGAGACTGGTCACTTATTTCGAGGGGTGTGTGGTGTGAATTACTTCCTTTAAATAGCATTGTTTCATGCCGCCAAACATATGTAACATTTACCTATGACACCCCCCTGCACCCTCTCCAAACTCTCTCTGTCTCTGTTCGAGGTAATCAGCATGAGTTAAAGAGAGTTTTCGTGCCTCCCCCCTACCCCCTCTTATAGTTGTCATAAATTTGGCGACCCCCTCTTTCGCTCTGTCATTTGTTTCATGACCCTCCCCAAACCCCCACCCCAAACCCCCACCCAGTCCCAACCCAACACCAACACCCACCCCCTTCATCTCACCGGTCCACCCATCCGAAAAATAGGTGTCGAGTCCCTAAATGTGGATTGTTTGGCTATATCTATCTGATATAAAGATCCTCTTCGGTATCATGAGGACGACATGGACGACTCAGAACTCTCTATTAGTAAACATGGGAAACGGGGGCCTTTTAAACAAAATCTCAAACCTTAGGATGACTTTCATGATACTCACATGTCTCTTTTTACGAGTAATACGGTTTTAGCGTACATAAAGAGTTGCATGTTAGATATATATACAGTATTGCTAATCATCAACATCAGCACTTTCTGGAAGTAATGGCTGCCAAGAGTGACATGTGCGATGCGTAACTCCCTGCACAACGTGTGTGTAGAGAGCCAACAGTGGTGCAATGAGTGATTCAAATGCACCCCAGACCTCCCTCTATTCCCTGCACGCTGTCGTGTTTGGAACATCTTCTTGATTGGTCTGGAATTTGGTTGTCACAAAATATATTCTAACGCCTTGGTTCTATTTCTTTGTACACTGTTTCTTTTTCCAATGTAAAAGATTTGAAGGAAAATAAATCTCGTTAAACAAAATGAACAAAAACTAACTGAAATTTGGTCTCTTTGTTGTAAAGAGATTTAGCAGAAACAATGTTTTGTGATAACACATTCTGGCATGACCTAAGATGTATGTACAACATCATGATGTTGTTCATGATTTCCATGACCATGTGGTTGCGTTCGACAGAATTTTAACTTCCTTTCCGGGTACATATGACCAAATTATATAGACAATTACGTCATCAAGTTAAATTGTGAATATGGTAGAATGGAATATCAGTCGTCATAATATCGCAAAATGTTGACCAAAGTCACACAATGTTAACTTCTTTTGTTTCTTCTGTAAGTTGGCTGAACATTTAAGCCTGCGGACTTCTATAAGTCATTTCATCAACGATTCACCCATCTACTTTGAAGTTTGTCCATTTTGAAGGCTAGCACTAATTATTGCTAACACTTGAGAAAACGTCGGACGCAGCCATTTTGCTAAAATCCACCAATCACAATGGGTTTCTTGAGTTAACCATTTCTGATTCAACAGGGAGAGCCTTGCGAATGCTGAGATTGGCCAAATTGCTGAGCTTGCTTCGGCTGCTTCGGTTATCCAGACTGGTCCGATATGTTCAGCAGTGGGAAGAGGTGGGGGTAATTTAAACTTTGACTGGCAAGTCATCCTTACTCTCTGATAGGAAGGGTATAAGTATAGAAGAACATACGTGTACACAGTAGATGTAGACATGGATAGTAGTCTGCCGCTTACAGGCTGACATTCAGACATTGAAAGATGGTTTGTTTGAAGAGCAGAATCGGCGATGGAGATACTTCATGTCATGTCTACTTTGATATAACTGATAATGTTACGTGGTTAATTACTCAAGGTTAAATATTGATATATTTTAAATGTTCATGAAACATAATAAAAACATATTATATGTGTTAAGTAAGTACAATATGATTTTGTAATGTAATATAATATGCACTGAGCATAAATTTTGAATGTATATTCTGATGAAAACATGTTAACGTGAACTAAATATATACGTCTCATAATGTTTAAAAAGTATTAATGCGCCATATGCACTATTTTATGATACAAGTAATTATACCCTGCCTTCAATGTCGATGTAAGGAGCTTACTCTTTCAATCTTTCTCTTTGAATGTCTCTTTACTATCTTTGTAATTTTTCTTTGAATGCTAAACAGCTTATAAAAAGAACACTACGTAAAAAGGGAACCTCTTTCTCTATCTGATGTCAGCTTAGCATCCAATTAATTGCAACTCAGGCTAGTTAGATCTTTTTTTTAGTTTCTTCACTTGTTTAATCAAAGTTTATTGCAAAGTATAGAATTTCTGTAATAGTTCTTTACATCTAACCTCATTTGATGTTTATTTTTATGATGTATTCGCCAGTTCACTAGCGCAATCAAATTCATTTCTGCTTTCAAGCACGCTTTTTATTGCATCGGAATGCCGATTTTCGTCTCGTTGAGGACCACAAACTGACTCATAATTTCCTGATCTCAGTTTTTAGCTATTGCTGGCAAGTTTATGAGAATCTTCAACCTCATCTGTCTGATGTTCCTCTTGGGCCATTGGAATGGTTGTCTCCAGTTTCTTATACCAATGCTACAAGACTTCCCAAAGGATTGCTGGGTAGCCATAGAGGAACTTCAAGTAGGCTAATTGCAGCATAGATGTTTGAAAATAACACTAATGTATTTGTGTAGCCAAGAAGTGAAACACATGTTTCATTTTGAATTGAATTATTCAAAACAATTCAAAGCTAACAGATCAATTGGATTCATCGGTCTACAAAGGGCGTCACACTGAGAATGGACTATCCTTATTCAATTGTTCGCTATTTCGAAATAGTAACTCGAAGTGTGCCCAATCACCATCCGTGTTTACATTAACTTCGCCATCTCGAAAGTATCCCTTTGATTCGTGATCAAGAAAAGGTTATAGCAGTTATACTCTTCGTATCTACAACTTGCTTTTCCTCAACCATGTGTCATACATATTTACCAAATTTTCTCGAAAGTGTCCTTTTAGTTGGGGATAAAGGAAGTTAACAGCAATTCTACTGTCGAACTATTTACCTAACAATGTATCATGCATTTATATACCTTTCTCTGTCTGTAAAGTGTCATTTACCTTACCGGAATAATGGCAGTTTATTGTAATTCATAACTATCCTTTTCATCCATTGTTTCCATTTCAGGATGCTCATTGGGCAGAACAGTATACATGGGCGTTATTCAAAGCGTTATCTCATATGCTATGCATAGGGTATGGGCGTTTCCCTCCACAAAATATGTCGGACACGTGGTTGACCATTTTGAGCATGCTGAGTGGTGCCACCTGCTATGCACTCTTCCTTGCTCATACCACTACTCTCATCCAGTCATTTGACACCTCTAGAAGACTCTATAATGAAAAGGTAGGTATCAAATATATCCTTGCATGTTACAAAAATGCTACGGTGTGTTTATAATCCGTTTAGGATTTTCAACGTCACTGTAAAGAGTCTGGATGGGTGAAAACATCAATTAGTTATCGCAGCTATGTGATTTCTCATTGGATTTTGTTGTACAAATAGACATTTTTCTCATGTGAATGTGGTACAAAATGAGAGATAAACTTATGTTCCTGCACGAGAATAAATGCATTTCACAATATGTAGTGGTGAAATCAACAGAATCAGGTAATTTCTAAAATCATTGACTTAAATCATGTTATGGTTTGTATATAATTTCTCTGTGATTCTGCAAAAAGATGCGTCAGTTTTACTTGTTAAAATGGACCCGTGAAGATCCGGGGTAGCATTGGTCTTCAGCAACCCTTGCTTGACGACCCGTGAAGATCCGGGGTAGAATAGATCTTCAGCAACCCATGCTTGCCGTAAAAGGCGACTAATGGGATCGGGTGGTCAGGCTCGCTGCTTGGTTGATGCATGTCATCGATCCCAATTGCGTTGATCGATGCTCATGATATTAATCACTTGATTGACTGGTCCAGACTCGATTATTTACAGACCGCCGTCATATAGCTGGAATATTGCTGAGTGCGGCGTTAAACAACAAACCAACCAACCAAGTAACCTTGCTTGCCGTAAAAGGCGACTACCCTTGTCGTAACAGGCGACTAACGGGATCGTGTGCTCAGGCTCGCTGACTTGATTGATGCATGTCATCGTATCCCGATTGCGTGGATCGATGTTCGTGATGTCAATCACTAGATTGTCTGTTCCAGACTCGATTATTTACAGACCGCCGTCATATAGCTGGTATAGTCCTGAGTACGGCGTTAAACAACAAACCAACGAACGAACTTGTTAAAATGCACGTTCAGTATGGCCAGCGCAGAATCAACTGCAACAGCAATAGCTTGACGTCATCATAATGATTTAAGGATGAATATGAGATATGATCTTATAAATGCGATATACATTGGCGTGGAACGTTTTTATTGATGTGTTAACCGAAAAACAATCATCAGCTCATCTATATTTGCCCCCTCTTTTCTGCCTTGCATTATTGTTTTTAGTATTCCTGAAACAATGCATTACAGGAAAAAATTCCACCTTGACAAAGTTATATCGATGTTGGTAAATGGTATCGTTTGTTTGTTCTTTCAGTTCAAACAAGTTGAAGAGTACATGATATATCGTAAATTACCTCGAAACCTTCGACAGAGGATTACAGACTACTATGAACATCGATATCAGGGAAAGATGTTCGACGAGGAAACGATATTAGGGGAACTAAATGAGTGTCTGAAACACGTAAGTAGATGATTCATCATGTATGTAGTGATAGATGCATACTTGTTTATGGAACATCATGATAACGTCAGCTGCCTTTCATATTTAGTCAATGAGTATCTAAGGACTTATTTAGTTATGTCCATACGCAGAATATCAGTGTGTTGCGATACAGCTGTGACGTCGCCGCTCGATAATGCGAATACAGTAAACTACGGTTATAACGAACACGCTTATAACGAACTGACGGATATAACGAACTACTTTTTGGTCCGGACTATTTGCTGTAGTTATGCTGTATATATGCTTATAACGAACTACGGTTAAAACGAACTAAAATTAGTAGTCCCTTTGAGTTCGTTATAACCGTACTTTACTGTATATTACTATAATTGAGGTTGGTCAGTAAGATTTTCAATCTAATACAATACAAGAGGTATCATAAGTAGGAATGGTAATGTATTACAATATAAGTGATATGACATGAGCAGGGATATTTATATGTTACAATAGTGGATGATGTGATTTCAGCGGAATGTTCATAATGTTATGTTGCTACAATAGTTGTGATGTGATATCAGCAGGAAAGTATATACGTTACCGAAGTCATGCTGATACATCAGCAGGAAGGAATATATGTTGTTACGATGGTTGTGGTATGACATTATGAATACATGAATGCCTATGTGGTTCGTAATATGTGAATTGGTATCGTCGGGAACGTTCTCATATTACCATAGATGTAAACTGATACCATTCATATTGCAATCGTGTAATACTAGGCGTTAACGATTTAACATTTTATGACCATGAGCTTCATTGTTACAATGGCATGAATTTTCAAATATATGAAACACTATATTTGAAACCATGAAACTAAAAGCGTCACTAAATTGCTCATCAGTGTCTTTCACAACCGAATCGAAACCAATACTAATACACACCATCGTTATTCAGGTCTGGGGCTTTCTAATTAGCATTCTAACAAATGAGCAATTTTGCACCACTCCTGCATTTCTCAGCCCTCCCTTGCCACGTTGTTAGTTGCAGTGTGTTAGTAATTAATGTTTTGAAGACATAGCTGACGTGCTTACATCGTGTCCTCATTTAAACCACGTTAAATGTGAATCTTGTGTCAGCGACAGGTGAATAAACAAACTCGATGCAGTTCTAACACAAGCGCTGAAGATTAGCACAGAGTTTAGACTACCGCCCTCGGCAGACCACCCTAGAGCTCGACCAACTCCATTTCCATACAGATCCTGTCGTGCTAGGCGAAATTGGCTTGTTTCTTTATTGACACTGATGCTGTATTAAAGGCTGAGGAAGTAGATAAAATCTGACACCTTAATCTAGATAGACTTTTATTGTCATTCAGAAATCAAATATTTATACAGTTGCCTGTTCCAGTTTTGGCCAGTATGCCACATGGCGGGAACCTTAAACAGTCGGCATCAGTTTGTATTATTATTTTTATACAGAAACTTGATTGTGTAATATGGTTTGAAGTCTTTAAAAGGCATTTAGAAGTGATACACATAAGGAAAAGAATTTATGGATGTCAACTACTTTATTATGAGGAACACGACGTTTCGGAGTATATGCTTACTCCTTCATCAGGTGTATGAATGCTATGGTTCAGAAAGCATATATATATGTACATGTAAGAAGAACAAAAGTAATAAGATAACAAAAGATGAAAACTGAACAAGGGAAGCCAACAGATAATTGGCGCTGATAGGTCTCTGCCTCATAGCATTCATACACCTGATGAAGGAATAAGCATATACTCCGAAACGTTGTGTTCCTCATAATAAAAGAGTTGACATCCATAAATTCTTTTCCTTAATGTGGTTTGGTTACGACAAAATGATTATTAATGTTTTATATGTATAAACCTTGCTTCTTTGTATTTGTTATATTATTATGACGCATGGTAGGTTTGAAAAAATGTATAATCAAGAGCACGTTTTTGAATTAGCTCTGGAGTCTGTTCGATAACTAGATGTTAACATCTACATATACACAAACCATTTACCCCTGTCGCTGCGCGCAGCTGTCACTATACAGAGTGATTACCTCCATCTGTTGCAATCCAACGACAGCCACTAGACATTCTCTACGATGTTAGTGCTGCATATATATGCCTTTAATTGTATGTCCAATCTGCTTCTGCGCTGCTCCAAAAGTAGCCTCCCTCATTAATCAAAAAGTGTTTCAAAGGTGTCGCGCTGCAGCAGTACTGCTGTGTGGCGTCGGGCAATAACACTTATGTACGCAAATTAGTGCTATCGGTAGGGCAGGACATGCTTTCACCTGGTGTTGTCACTGATTTTTATGGATCCACTCATATAATTGTCACCTCTATTTTGCATTTTTCGCCCAATGGAATCTGTTTCGGCGAATACTTATGACTGATTATTCTCCAGCGTTGACATTTTATATTCATATATGTCCAGTGTACCTTTGCACTGCTCCAAAAGGCGCACCACTCGTTTAGCATTTTAGTGCTTCATAAATGCCATTAATGTGTGACATTGTACCTTTGCACTGGTTCCAAAGTTACGAAAGGTTCATTATTGTTGTGTACGGTAAATTTTACCTTTAATAAATTGAAATTGTACTGATATATCCTATATGCCAATTCTGTGATTCAACTATTCCAATATTGTCTTGTCACAATTACAATTCAGTGTTTTAAAGATTAAAGTATCAACTATAGCTCTCCCATAATCCCCAACAATTCCCCAAAGATTATTGTATTAACCCTTGTCTTACTCCAAAGATGTTCATGCACAAATAATCGCATTCCCCACGTCCATCTTCTGATCTTTAAGATGATCGCTTTAACATGTTTCACAGAACATTGAAGTGCTTTTTAAACACGCCCAATTTACCTTGTAATTTACCTTGTAAGACGATTTTATTAACACATCCTTTATACAATTCCACTACTTCAAAGGTGTCCTTATTTCCATATCTTACATTGAGCTATGCCCTGACGTCATGTTCTGAATGTATTTCCAGGGCCATGGGTGGCCAAAGCGCAGGGCGTTTCAATTCGCCACGCAGAGTTATTTTCCTTGGTCATTCAAGAATCCGATGATCATGGCTCTATTTCCAGTTTCGCCAAAATGTGATTCTTGGTTTCGTCAGTTTCATCAAAGGTCTAAGGCCCGCATCAGTTTGGTCTTCCCTTCCACTTGACGCTGTAATGACGTAATGTGAGTAAAATAATGTTTAGAGCGGCGTTAAACCAAACTCACTCACTTCCTTTGATTTATTTCCAGGAGGTAATCAACCATAACTGCCGAGCTCTCGTAGCATCTGTTCCATTCTTCACGAACGCTGACCCCTCCTTCGTCTCAGAGGTGGTTAGCAAACTCAAGTTCGAAGTCTTTCAGCCTGGCGACCTGGTGATAAAGGAGGGCACTATTGGAACCAAGATGTTCTTCATCCAAGAAGGCATTGTGGACATCATAACGTCAGACAAGGAGGTCGCCACTAGTCTTTCAGATGGGTCTTACTTCGGAGGTAGATGATTTTCTCCTAGGGGTTATCACTGTGGGTGATCACCAGGGTGTCTCAGAAGGAACCCTAATTCATTGCACTAACACAATGCCTTAATATGCTTGTTCATCACTACCATGAAAACTACATGTGTATGTTCACGTCAGCTTGAACAACTAGCGGGGACCTGTACTGGCGGGGAAATTTGTTGCTTTCATTTTTTACAATACCGATAAAACGTTAACACAATTATTTGTCCCGGAAATGAACAAATGATAATGACCTTATGGTATTTGTGACAGTGTAGACTCATTTATGTGGCATTGCATAGAAGGGATTCCGATGGCTTGAGATTATAGAGCGTTATTTCTGCATATCTTGATGTAATGTTTAGCAATAAAACAAGAGACCATGAACGCCGATATATTACTATTGCGCATATCATAACGATGTTTTCCATTTTTTGTATCTTCATCTTCCCTATGTCGCTTTTACAGCATGACATTTGATAAGCATGGGCTTTTTTATGCACGGTACTTTAAAAATAACACAAATGGTGGTAACACTTCATAATTCTAATTCTTTGCATGGATTTATTTTTTTTAAATATTTGTATCTTTGTACATTTTTTCCATATTTATAAATCTTCGCACATCGGCATGTTTTCAAAATGTTAAACAATGTTTACCATTTTTTACATCAGGACTTCATATATAGAATCACATAGTTTCATAATTTGGCTTGGAAATGATAACTGTCAGTTGTTAATAATAGAGAAGTAATATTTCAAAATGAAAAAATAATGTTAATCAATGGCCAGTCTTAGGGTAAAAAAGGTCTACGGATATGGTTGCACAAGCGGCAATTAGTAATATTGAGACCAGGATTACCAGTAAAAAGACTGAGATTTTTCCGTATCCAGAGGATATCCAGATCAAGTCATGGTCTCTTTCCCGTAATGATTATTTCTTTTATTATTTTCAGAAATTTGTCTGTTGACTAATGCACGCCGTGTTGCAAGTGTTCGAGCGGAGACATATGTCAACCTCTACTCTTTGGCCGTGGAGCATTTCAACGACGTACTGGATCGATATCCATTGATGAGGAGAACGATGGAGAGTGTTGCTGCAGAGAGACTCTCCAAGATTGGCAAGAATCCGAGTTTGGTCAGCAGTCGAGCAGATCTTGAGGAGGACCAGAAGCTTGTGAACGAGATAGTGATGGAATCCACACCCATCCCTACCAGCGCCAGTGAGAATGAGGACGGAGACTCAGATGATAGTTCTGATGGAAGTAAACCTAAGAAAAAATTCAAATTTGATTTTTCGGCAAGGTTGCAACGGATTACTGAGGAGAAGAGAAGCAAGTCTCGGGAAAATTTAAAGGATAAGGACCTGATAGATTTTACTGATGGAAAATCTCATAAGTTTGGGAAGCTCCCAAAGGTTCCATCAGGACCTAATCTCTTTGGACTTCGAGTTCCTTCTCTTCCTGAAAGAAAGAGATCAGGGAGTGTGGGAGATGCTTATGCCATGACCGGGGCCCCAGAAAGAATTGAGGAAGAAAAGGAAGAAAAAGGGAAAGACATTGAGAAGAGAAGGGGTAGTTTTCTTGGTAACAAATTTTTAAGAGCGTTTGAAACGAAGGAAAGTAAACCTAAGAAGTTAAAAGATACAGGCAAAACTGCCAGTCTAGATGAGGCAGTTCCTCTTGTCACAGACCCTAAGGGCACCACTGCTAAGCAGTTTCTTGCGGTACCTCCAGATCCTGCTAAGGAACATTCTAAAGATTCAAAAGATAGGACTAAATCGGAGGAGACCAAAGCAAAATCTGAAGATAGGCCAGAGCCGTCCCACACAACTACAACCACGACTGTTACTGTTCAACCAACTCCTATTCTTAAAATCCCTAAAGATGACCCTTCTGTTAAAAAGAGCATAGTAAGTGTCAGCCCTTCTGTTCCCTCTAGTAAAGACAGCAAGTCCCAAAAGGACGAGTCAATACAGCCAAAATGGGCGGGGGGACAACCAGTAACAATCCGAAAAGAAGTCATTATTGAGGAAAAACCTCAGGAGAAACCGCCAAAATCAAGCGAAAATGCATGAATTATCTGAGTGTGTTGTTCATCATGTTTCGTTGTGATACCGCCGCACGGCGTTCCTGTTTAGGATGTGCAATGATCTTGACTTTGATCTACCTTGTGTACAAGTAGCGGGCCAGTGAGAAAGAGGTAACTTTGAATGACTGTGTGATCAAATCAATGAGGCCAATTACATGTATCAACTGTATATACACGCACCAAATGGCGTGAAGACGTGGATATATTGAGTGTCTTTTTATAGTAACACTACACTGATGCGATAGTACGACACTGTAAAACAGGACTCTGTGACAATCACGTAATGTTTTTTTACATTTCCCTAGACATTAGGTTGATATCCTCTCTGTGCTGGTCACGTGGCTGCCTCGTGAGGTGACGTAGGTGACACGTGACAGTCACGACAGATTAAGTCTTGATAATTGACGCGTAAAGGCCATTCCTTTCATGAGCTGCCATGGACATCGACCTAGATAATCATCTGCACACATGCCTTCGCCATATTTGACCATGGTCATCATTCCTGAAAAGTGGAGGGTTACTTCCCCTTAGTCCTCGATATAGGCGTAGAGTGATGCTCTGTCTGTCATTTCTGTCCATATGTCGTTATCGTTCTCACACATATCTGCCTTAATTTTACAGCGATGTATGACTTTGATGAAAGGTTAACATAGACTTTTGTATAATCTTTTTCCATGCATTTTGAAAGATATATCCAGATTTTATTTTCAAGTTGTAATTATCAAATACGTTTATGAAATTGGTTTTACAGTATATGCTTGATGACCATCAACTGATATAATAATTTGTTTGAGGGCAGAGCTGTAGTCTAAATTTCATTGCAATTAATTATTAGGTTCCTCCAGGTATTCACATTTGCTACTGCCGTCTCGTAAATAAGAACATATTCATATTCATATACAATGCCGCTGTTATATCATATTGCTACCAATGTGACATCACGTTTGCATTTGCAAAATCAATGTGTTATTAAAAACAGCCGTTTTATATTGGATAGGCACCAATATTAATTACATATCACTTTAAATCAAAAGAGTATTATTTCTAAAAATTAGTTCTTTCTATACATTGTCATTATATAAAGCCTGCTACCTCGAGGTATTTGTGAATTAATAACTTACTAAACTGGGGAGCAAAAGAGACTCTACCTCTCAGTTTATTTTATCATATCTTCGATTTTCAATTGAAAATATATTAAGTTATTTAATAAGTGAACTGTATTGGCACTTAGTCAGCACCCAAAGAATACGTCTGTTTGGTTTTATTTTGTTAAATATAATTTGATTTAAACTATGAAAATTAACAAACCTCGCATAATACACTTCTATTGGTTGGTATCTTTGACATCTTATCTTTGAAAATCAACATATTTGTTTTCAAACACGACAAGGGTCTGATGTAGCAACTTCAATTCTAACCCCAGTCTTCACTGAACCAATACACACACAATTTTACTTATCTGCAGTTTACATTATGGTTTGGTATCCGTCCAACCGATGACGTGTTCCTTCTCTTCCCTTTATAAACAGTAAGGAGAGGTGGTACATGCAGCTTAGTGAACCAAATAGATATAGGCGTCAGCTACATAACAAGTATTGTCTGCCATTTATGTAGTTCAAAGGTCGCCTTGAGATCAGTGTGGTCTGCTTTCACTGTTTAACATAACTGATACGATTTTTTTTAAGTGAGATATCCTGGGGGGGGGGTTGATTTTTTTCTCTAACAAAACCGTGTGGGCCATTCAGAAATTTGAAAAATCGTGTTCCATTTTCAAAACCCTGAATATGTCAGCCTCCCAACCAACTGGTGGCAGTACAAGGACAGTTACATGAGCCTTTTCTTGTTAGAAGATAAGGGCCATATGCAGGGTTAGCAAGAATCGAAATAGTTTAGGTATGCTGGTGAATGGATGATAGGTTAGGCAGTAAAAAATAATTTAGAATGTAACTCGTCACTGTTTGAAGAACGCGTGAACGGTTTGGCTTCGATCAATAACGTTTTTTTGTTCAGTAAAAAGTCCGATTTTCATACTAGATCAACAATGAATTTTAAGGCCGTTATGGTTAACAACCAGTTTGAATTAAAAAATAACCCCTGTGACTTGGTCTTTTAATTAATCTTCTACAAAACCCGTTTTAATGGCCTTAGTTGAGAGAATGTTAGACATGTATACTGCAGATATGTTACGAACACCATATAAGGAAATGATTCGAGGGTAAAAGTATCATATATATACGAGTAAGTTAATGGTAACATTGTATATTGTCATTGTCCAAATATACGCTTTACATGGACAATGTTTGTGATGCGTGATACCAATACACCTCAAGTTGTAACACCACGAATGACTTTTTTATATTATTTCTAAATAAGGTATTTATGCGATTGTTTATTTATTATCTCATTTAGCATTGTTTATGTTTACCGATGCGGGTTATTACCGGTAATGTTATCACTGTGAGCTTTAGATGTGATCTGTAAAACACAGCAATGACCGTATCCTTTCAACGTCACTTACTGTAGGTTGAGTTGAGGGCTATGTGGCAATTTGCACTGGAACTACACCACATACAACATATGTATGACAGGATTGTAATAGAATAGAGTGCATGTACTGTATTACTAGACAATGAAGTTTAAGGTTTCAATGATTCATAATGGAAAATCTCTTACATGCCTAGAAGCCGTGCTTCCTTTGATGAAATATATTATACTAGTTTAAATGTCTCGTCTATACCAACATTTAGACTTGTGTTCTAAACATGACATTGTTTTCACACAATATATTGAATTCCTCACTCACATTATTAATATTACTTTTTGACAGTCTAGTATACCATAATAAAATACATACTCTGTACATAGTCAACCCGGATAGAAACACATTTAAATATTGGGAATTTTACCACATAGAATTCCCTAGATCATAACGGTTTGCCATTTTATGATTTCGAAATGTGTACAAATGAAGACCTTTAAGATGTTTCCGAAGATGAAAATAATTCCAGAGGTAAAAAGTTCCAGTGATGGGTTTTTTTCAGATCTTGGGTAAATATGGTATATTTCGATGGAATTCCGTCGACTACCTACTAACTATTTCAACACAACAATACTTACTATGTATAATCCAGTTAAACTGCACTATTTTGTGTGAGGTTAGCTAGATTCCATGCCGTGTCCATATGTTCCATGTTTTCCAGGTGACCATTTGACTTGCCTTTGCATGTGTTTGTGACTGGTGTCACGGGAAGCAGAATACGCTCACATTATCGCTAATACGATTTATCATTGCTATTCCTTCAGTGAATAAAAAACATATTCTTAGGATATAGTCAAAATCGTACAATGGACAAGATGTTCTTATGGTTATGGAAAGGGTTTTGTTACTTATATTTCAATTATATTATTTCACAACGTTTTAGTTTTCAATACAATGAAATGCTTATGACACTAATAATATTGACATATCCGATATCACATAGCCCCAATTCAACTTTTACACGCTATAAGCAGCCAATGTAGACGTGTGCCGCGAAGGGTTACCATATTCAGTAGTCTTTCATGATATTTATTTCAGTTGTTGATTTCATCAGCTTGTATATAGTGTTATATTTGTTCTAGTTTATATGCAAAATGGGACACATGAACAGGGATTCCTAGGCCAATTACCAGTGTAAGTATTGTCACTTAATATGCAAATATTGCCTATATCGACACATCAGTACATACAAGGCAACGAAATATATACTGAACATCAGTAGAAACGCAACAATATATGATTATATGATATAACTAATTATAACGAAAATCAGGTTAACACAAAGAGGCAGCGTTTGTGATGAATGTGCTTTTGCTTGAGTTAATGATTGACATGTTAATGAACCAATGCCGATTCATGTTGTGATAAATTTTCATTGTATCAGGGCTGAGCAGTTTTCACAGGAATCCCATTTCTGATTACAGAAGGTTTAAACTTTTGATTAGAATATTGAGTCTTGATTGTCGACCAATCCTCGTAATCCGATATTGGTTAACTCTACCTTAAGAGTTACAAAAATAGTTTTTGGCAAATAATATACCTTGAACGTGTATCTTTAACTTACCGAACGCGTTTTTGCGTGAAAACACGTGTGTTTCAAAACCGTTCAGAGAACGTGAACTTATATAAGTAAAACATCGATAATACGGACTCTGTAAGACCGGAAATCAGGCTTTCAGATGATTTCTATTTATAACGTCTATAAATATACAAAATATCTTAGGGTACCAATTATTGGTTAGAAAAATTGCTCTTCGGTCGATTTCAATGGAAACGGTCATAGTCGGATTAAAGGGGTTTAACTGTACAAAATTATAGTATTTCTGATACCTGTGAGAACATTGCTAATGATATGCTTCCAACGATCTGCCTACTGGCTTGTATAGATTTTACGTAGTGTCAGCTTATATCTAGGCAATTCTTCAAGAGTGGTATGCGTTGTCTGAGTGATGCGTTTCTATTGATGCTGAGTATATTAGGTGACAAATAAGAGAATTTGAGAATAAATGAAGTTTTTACCCAAAATGTGTTATTTATGTTTATACTATATTTTCTTCCTAATATTGCTTTAGTATATCATCATGATACCACCGAATATTGTATTTCAGATAAATGTTCCCAAGTCGGGGAGTATATCCGAATTGATACTCTTTCCGTATCTTACATTCGTGGTGAAAAATACGGACATCTATTATAAAGTCTGTGAAAAGTTGTCAGTTAAAAGTGTTGAACAAATCTAGATGTAAAAATCACCGAACATGTTGAGCATTACTTACTCATATACACTTATAACACTAACTTCCGGGTACCCATCTAAAGAAACAACGTGTACACATCTAAAACCATGAATTGTTTAGCTATGTAACTACCTACAATTTCCAATGAAAGACCACTATTTGCGTTACCATTTAATATTACCTACCAGGTACCCAAGATCCCAACTTATTTACCCAAGTAACAATACCTACAAGGTTTCCAGGAAACATAATCATTTTCGCATGTAACACTATCTACCCAGAATCATAAATTATTTACCCATGTAACTCTACCTACCCGGTACACAGAACTTCACATGATTTACTCATGTAACAATACCTACCAGGTGCCGAGGACCACACATTATTTACCTATGTAACACTACCTCTCTGGTGCCTAGAACATAAACCATTCACGAGTGTACTCACACAGTATAGCCTACGCGTACCAGGATCACGTGTTCCAAAAGCGATTTTAGCACTACCGCTACCGTACGTCCATGTTCAAGTTTCGATAATCGAAGTATTAGTGGAACAGGACCAAGACATCCCACTCAGACCTCCAGTTGCTTTTGTATATGAATACACAATGCCTTTCAGAAAGTGGTCAAATGTAACAAATGTTATATTTGGGATAACACCTTCTTGGTAAAGTACAAATTCTAGTACTTTTTTTAATCCACACTCGCAGATTCAGGTATCTAATCGCCAGCACACAGTGATTTAACCAACTCAGCCACCATGCTTCCGCAAAACTTTAGTCCGACAACTGGTAGTCTAGATCACGTCCCCTATGATAAGTGTAAATTGTAGCCCTCTGATAAGTGTAAACTGTACCCCTCCGATAAGTATAAATTGTACCCCTCTGATAAGTATAAATTGTACCCCTCTGATAAGTGTAAATTGTAGCCCTCTGATAAGTGTAAATTGTACCCCTCTGATAAGTATAAATTGTACACCTCTGATAAGTATAAATTGTACCCCTCTGATAAGTGTAAATTGTACCCCTCTGATAAGTATAAATTGTACCCCTCTGATAAGTGTAAATTGTACCCCTCTGATAAGTGTAAATTGTAGCCCTCTGATAAGTGTAAATTGTAGCCCTCTGATAAGTGTAAATTGTACCCCTCTGATAAGTGTAAATTGTACCCCTCTGATAAGTGTAAATTGTAGCCCTCTGATAAGTGTAAATTGTACCCCTCTGATAAGTATAAATTGTACCCCTCTGATAAGTGTAAATTGTAGCCCTCTGATAAGTGTAAATTGTACCCCTCTGATAAGTATAAATTGTACCCCTTTGATAAGTGTAAATTGTAGCCCTCTGATAAGTGTAAATTGTAGCCCTCTGATAAGTGTAAATTGTAGCCCTCTGATAAGTGTAAATTGTACCCCTCTGATAAGTATAAATTGTACCCCTCTGATAAGTGTAAATTGTACCCCTCTGATAAGTATAAATTGTACCCCTCTGATAAGTATAAATTGTACCCCTTTGATAAGTGTAAATTGTACCCCTCTGATAAGTGTAAATTGTAGCCCTCTGATAAGTGTAAATTGTACCCCTCTGATAAGTGTAAATTGTAGCCCTCTGATAAGTGTAAATTGTACCCCTCTGATAAGTGTAAATTGTACCCCTCTGATAAGTGTAAATTGTACCCCTCTGATAAGTATAAATTGTACCCCTTTGATAAGTGTAAATTGTACCCCTCTGATAAGTGTAAATTGTACCCCTCTGATAAGTGTAAATTGTACCCCTCTGATAAGTATAAATTGTACCCCTTTGATAAGTGTAAATTGTAGCCCTCTGATAAGTGTAAATTGTACCCCTCTGATAAGTATAAATTGTACCCCTTTGATAAGTGTAAATTGTAGCCCTCTGATAAGTGTAAATTGTACCCCTCTGATAAGTGTAAATTGTACCCCTCTG